TCACCATCTTAGCTGTAGAGGGCACAGCATCACTGGCCCTCATGTGGGATCCGAACCGGGGCCCTGCTGCTCAGAGCTGGTGTCCCAAGCCAACTTGTAACACACCACTCGGCTGGCCCAAGGGATCACTTCTTTTTTTTTTTTTCTTTTAGCTGAGCCATCCTGCCACCTGTTGGCAGCTCAGCGGCAGCTCGGGCTAGGCATTGAACCGCTGTTGCTCAGAGCTCGCACTCTTAAGCGAGCTTTTAACCAACTGAGCCACTTGGCCGGCAAGGGATCACTTCTTAAATTATATAAATGTCTAACCACTATGCTGTACACCTGAACTTAATATAAAATAATGTTGAATGTCAACAGTAATTGATAAATTTAAAAAGGGGGGGAAAGGTGAAGGGGAGTAAGAGGTCCAAGTTTCCAGGTATAAAACAAATACGTAAGTCATGGGAATGTAATATACAGCATGGGGAATATAGTCAATAATATTGTGATAGTGTGGGATGGTGTCAGGTGATTGTTGGGCTTATGGTGATCACTTCTTTAGGTCTAGAAATGTTGAATAACTATGCGTACACCTGAAACTAATATAGCGTATGTTAGTTATATTTTTAATAAAAAATCTTAAAAAGAAAGAAACTGGTTTCCTCTTGACAGAAATGTGTCCACAGGTGGCTCTTGAGCCCCAATTCTCAGGGATTCACCTGCAGAAAGGATGTAGAAATGGGTTATTTTCCCAGGTTCTAATCTGGCTAAAATCATAGGGAAGAACCTTGAGTGTTTCACTTGGGTCATGTGACAACCCTTCCACCAATTGACTGAGGCCAAAGAGGGGCTGTGTCTGTGATTGACAGCCTTAACTAGAGTCCCATGTTGGAGTGGAGAAGGGCAGGAGCTGCTCCCTCCAGCTGTTGGGCAGAATCAGGGGCATTGTGGTGGCCCTACACCTGAGCACCTCCCCACGGGTAGTCCTGGGGCAGAACAAAACCTCCCTCCCTGCCTGGGGCCAGAGGCAGCATCCCAGGTGTCTTTGGCCCTCCCCACAGAATCACCAGGATTCAGAGAGGTCCAAGTTGCAGGGGTTCATCTGTCACAGTAGGGCAAAGCCCCGTCAAGGCCTTCTATGGCTGCACCCGCCCCCAGGGTCAAATGGCTAATGGAGCCCAGGAGAGACTCACTTGTGGGAGGGGACCAAGGCCTGAGGGGCAGGCACAGCCCCCACCCCATCCCTGGACATTGGGGACAAGTGCGAAGGGCTCCAAACAGAAGTTCAAGCACCTGCAGTCTGGGGGAGGCGGCAGCGTGTGGGTAAACTGGGGCTCTGAAGGGAAAGAAGGGCCCTACTTCATTGGGCCTGGCAGTTTCTCTGGTATAAATACTCCCCCTGAGGCCAATTTCAAGCTCCCAGTGTGTAACAAGCAGCTCACAGATTTTCGAATATTTAGAAATTCCTCTCCAGGGCCAGTAGAAGCTGCTTCACACCCCGCTGGGGGAGCAGGGTGGGGAGGGGGCTGGGCCCTCTGGCTGCAGCCCTGCCAGTCCCTTCCTCCCAGTGTCCTGAGGCTGCCTGGGTTGCAGCGCTGCTGGCTGACCAGGTGTCTGCCCAGCCCAACGCACCCACGCAGCCTCCAGGCTCTGACCTGCTGGAGGCCACAGAAGTTTGAGATGAGGCAGGCTCTGGGCCCTTGAGCGCACCCCACGTGCCCTCCTGTGAGCCCACAGGTGTAAATGTCCGCAGGTGTTCCTTCCACTAGGAATCTCGTTGGGGAACAGCAGGTCGTGGCAATCAGCCCGCAGCCAGCGATTTCCTTCCTTGAGAGAGAAGGACGGGGGAGCATGCCAAGTGCCCCAGGCCCTGCCTGTCAGTGCAGGGGGTCCCACAGTGTCTGAGTTTGCCTATGGGGGGAGTCAGCCTCCTGGTGAGAACTACAGGGGGTGGGGCGGGAGGCAGGAGACCGCCTGGGACCCTGACAGGAGGAGCATGGCTCCTACCCTGTTCACTGCTCAGAACATCACTTAGGTGTGGGTACAACCCAGCTTTGTCCCCATTGGGGGCTTTTGCTGTCGGGTCTGCAGAATTCTTAGTTGCTATTGGAAACGGTGATGTCACTGGCAGGGGGCGGAGCTTCAGCTATCCTCTAGTTAGGGAGAGAGAAGCACACTCCAGAGGTAGAGGGGACAAAGAATTCGGATCACGAGGACTAGAGGGACTAGAGAAGCTCTGGAGAGCAGCAGGACGAGTGTAGGGAATCAGAAAATGGGCATCAGAGGGGAGAGGAGTGGAAGCCGAGGCCAGGGATGTCTCTCCCGGCACGCACCTCACTGAGCAGTGCTCCCTGGTGTCTGACCTTAGTCCTATCTGCTGCAGACACACTACCTCTGCCCTGGTCTCTCCATAGCTGGGAGAGACCGTCAGACTCCTGGAAGATTCAGCTCAACATGGGGCAGCCACTGTCAACCCTTCTATTCTCTTCAACCCTTTGGGGGGAGTCCAAGTCACATGGCCAGGCAGATGGTGTCCTTTCCCCATTTTTAAGCCTTCTGAAGAGGGAAGCCCACGCTCCCTCCTCCCGAGGAACATGGCTAAGAGCCGCTCCACACCCTTGGGTCTCCAGCCCACAGAGTCAGACCCCAAAATATCACTGACTAAGGATGAGGACTCGTGCACGCTCGTGCACGCCAACACACACACACACACACACACACACACAAACTGGCACGAAACATTCGGTCATGCTAAAAGACACACAAGGCTGCACGCAGTGACACTGACCCCTCTAATCTAGGTAAACTCAGCTCCCTGCAGGTCCCAGGAAGCACAGGTCACTGTCGCAGCGACCTCTCCACACACGCGCGCTCACACGCACACGCGCACATACACTCCCACACAGGCGCTCCCCGCTCGCCACGTTCTGACAAATGCTCGCAGGAACGCAGGCGCACGCTCTGGCGCGGGAGGCGCCCCCCCTCGGCTCCGTGTTAAGAAGCGGGGGCGGCGGGAGGGGTAGGAGACGTGGGTCCCGCTCGAGGCTCCGCAGCTGCCGCAGTCGCCGCAGCGTCGGAACCGGGACCAGCGAAGCCGGTGGAGGAGCTGCAGCCGCGGTGTCCTCTCGGCGCGGGGCGCCAGGAGCCGCTGCGGTACCCGCTTCAGCACCGCGGACAGCGCCAGTCGCTCGGGGCCAGGAACCCACGCGCGCCCAGGGCATCCCCCGCCAGCCGAAGGCTCGGGTGTCCCCTTCCCTCTCGCAGACGTTCTGGACCTAAAGCTCCCGAGGACGTGGCGCTCCTCGTCCGCGGGATCGGGCGCGCGCAGGACGGCCGAAGCGCCCCGCCGGGGATGCGCCGAGGGCCCCGCTTTCGCGCTGCCCAGAGCCAGGGCGCTGCCCAGAGCCCATGAGCACCATGCACCTGCTGACACTCGCCCTGCTTTTCTCCTGTTCCTTCGCCCGTGCCGCCTGCGACCCCAAGATCGTCAATATCGGCGCGGTGCTGAGCACGCGTAAGCATGAGCAGGTGTTCCGNCAAAAAAATTAGAGTTGGCTTAGGACACCAGCTCTGAGCAGCAGAACCCCAGTTTGGATCCCATATTACAGCCAGTAACACTGCACCCTCTATAGCTAAGATGGTGAACAACAGCTCTACCTGGAGCTGGGCTGACGTGAGTCACCAGTGACCGCAAAGGCCGCAGCCCTTGCACAGCGGGCTGCCGTGAGCTACCATGAGTGGCTGGCAGCCGGTGTGAGCTGCCAAGAGCTGCCATGAGCGGCCATCCAGTGGCCAGCAAATGATCTGCCTCACCTGGGAAGAGCACAATGACAATACCAACATGGGCCAATGAAGCGACGTCTTCCATAACTAGACTGAAGAACAAAAGGACAGCAACTTCTCTGTTCCCCTTCCTCAATTCTCCAATGCTGTTCCTCTCCCCCAATTCCCCAGTAAAATAAAATAAACACATTTTGATGGTTGTCAGAAGGGAGGGGCATTGGGGGTGACTTAAAACGGGGAAGGGATTACGAAGTACAAATTAGTTGTTATAAAGCAGTCATGTAGGATATAGCATAAGGATTATAGTCAATAAAACTGTAATAATTATGTATGGTGTCAAATGGGTACTAGATTTATTGGGGTGATGGGTAGGAGGGGGTTTTGGGAGTCAGGGTTAAAAAGGTGAAGGTAAAAAGTGCAAAACAATAGTTACAAAATAGTCATAGGGATGTAAAGTAAAGCACAAGATTATAGTCAGTGATATGGTAATAACTATAGTGCCGTGACTAGACTAGTCGTGGGGATCACTTTTTTTTTAAGGTTTTATTGGGGAATTGGGGGCAGGGAACAGCATTGGGGAATCAGGGAAGGGGAGCAGACAAGGTGCTGTCCTTTTGATCTTCTGTCTAGTTGTGGAGGATGTCGCTTCATTGGCCCATGTTGGTATTATCATTGCGTTCTTTCTGGGTTAGGCAGATCAGTCGCCGGCCATTGGATAGCTGCTCATAGTGGCTCACGGCAGCTCACACCAGCTGCTGGCTGCTCACACTGGCTGCCAGCCACACATGGTAGTCCATGGCAGCCCACTGCTCAGGGGCTGCAGCCTTTGCCGTTGCTGGTG